TCTCAACACCGACATGTATGAGAACTTATATATATATATATATATATATATATATATAGATGTGCAGAAGTTTACGAAAATTGTAGATCGTTTCCCTTATCGCAGAAATAGCTGACATTGGATCAGTAAGGAGAAAATTGTCTTTTACAGTTCATTTAATATTGCTCCGACATGTTTGTTTTAGAAACAACGAATGACTAATATTTATATTCAGTGCATTCTCCGTTTGGTGGACTTCGGTTGATAACTTGCGAAGTTCGAATCTTTGGTACACACTTAAAAAGGTGCCTTTGCTGACCGGTAACATATCGCTCACATCTTGATTTATTATGTTTGCATAGTTCTGTGAAAAAAACAACAACTAACTTCTGGTGTCTCTGAACAGTCGCATCATGCGTTGCAATACGGGGTAGAGAAAACCTCCTTGTTAATAATTGACAGTGGTAGTAGCGAGACGTTTAATCAAAATAAGGACGGTCACTGGCTAGCACCGATACAGCTATGAAAGTTTAGCTGTGTGAGCTTCAGAACACAAGATGAATCATTTAAGCGGTTTGTCTCTCCAACTGCGCACAGCATAACTGCAGGATCTTCACATCGTAGTTTCTACTCCTTTGCGTTTTACTTGTAGTACTTATACATCCACAGAGTTAAAGGGAACTTTGAATTCTTTGAAGCAGATGAAACGTATATTTTGAAAACTAGGAAAATCAAAAGGAGAAAATTCTGGGCAGAAAAAATGGAATATATATATATATATTCTACATTTTGTGCACACGTCCATGGGCCTACCCGCATATGCTGAACAATATATAGTTCGATAACTTCCAAAATCTGTGGAAAAACAGATATGTTTAACTCAAATATGAGTAAAAAGGGCCAACGTTCTTGGTAAAAATGCAGATTTTTCGAGAAAAAGTATTATTACGTATTTCTGATCGCTCGTGAGCTTTGCAGTGTGACTGCTGTAAAGTTAGATTAGTTCGGTAGTGTTTAAAATTAAACCTTGCAAACTTACCATTGACATGGTAAATCTTTGTAAGATTTAATTGTTAAAAGTATCAAGTGTTTTATAAATATGTGAAATAGTTGAGTGTTAAAATTAAGGTTTCACATAAGATTGAGAGTGGAATTTTGTTGTAATCGTTATGTTTGGCCATTTGGGAAACAACCGACGAATGTCATAACAAAGTAGGCCTACATTGTATAAAATACTTCCTAGTTGAAATGATAATTCGGTATGTGTTTGAGAACGTTGTTTCTGAAGTCTTGCTCATAACCTTACTCGTATTCACTAAGATAACCTGACAATAAGTGTCAACTACTCGTACTTACATAACCTTTGAGTAACGAATAACTAGTTTTAATAAGAATTTCGGCCAGAGGTAAGTTTTTATGTATAAACGTTGAGTTCTAAATCATTTTCTTCAACCAAGTTCGAAGTGTTCTAGAGCCGCGCGAGAAAAAATTTAAAAATAGTGTCTACTGAAAGATAACTTGTATATTAACTTGGTTAAATCCGGCTACCATTCTTTGTACGATTTACAGAAAATTTACAAAACCAGGTAAAAGAAAAAGAAGAAAAATAGTTAAAATATGTTTAGATGTACAGTGGCCATCAGACTTGACACTTTAAATCTGGGACTTTTAGCTGCGGTATAGCGGCTCATAGAATGGCCCCGAGTTTGTTTTTCAACTACAAGATTTTAGCTCGTATCTCATTACAGCCGCGGCTCTTGAGGATTCCCTCTTTCGTTTTGAGAAGGAAGGTCTTAGCTTAAAAAATAAAATGATTGACTAGATGCAGAAAGTTGATTTACAATATGCTTCAAAATAAACTGAAAATCTCGTATATTTAAATATATGTGACTAATGAGTATTATGTTCGTAGGTGAAATTCGAGGTGAGTTTTTACTGAACAATCCTCTTGATTGCAGGCGAGCTCACCTGCGGAACTGTCTGGAGAGACTTAAGGAGATTGTACCTTTAGGCGCCGAGTCGAGTCGCCATACAACGTTAGGTCTATTGACCAAAGCCAAATTATTTATTAAGGTAAGCTCCTATTGGTGTGATATTCTAGGCATTATATATAGTTATTTCTTCCGTAACGTGAATTAGGGTACCGTTATTATTCACTGTGTGAAATATATGTGTGTGTGTGTGTGAAGTAAATTAATCATAACTTTGTAATATGTAGAAATAACCTTATAACCCGAGCGATTTCGGAAGGTGGACCTTTCCTCTTCAGGGGCAAACTAGGAGGTCCGCCTTTCGAATGCGCTCGGTTTATAGGGTTTTTATGTACTTCTATCAAGACGTCTTGAACCTACGCGTTTTACTAACATCATGTTTGTACTATGTAGTTGGACCTTTCCTCTTCAGGGGCAAACTAGGAGGCCCACCTTTCGAATGCGCTCGGTTTATAGGGTTTTTATGTACTTCTATCAAGACGTCTTGAACCTACGCGTTTTACTAACATCATGTTTGTACTATGTAGTTGGACCTTTCCTATAAATGGTTAACATTATGCACTAAGGTTAATTTTTTTATATTTTAAGAAGTCGTAAATTCTTTTGCATAGCAACCGAGTCTCTCGTATCATTCCAGAATGATGGCATCTTTTGTAACGTACGTTTTCAGAACAAACATTCAGGTTGAAGTATTTAGTTTTAATGCAAACATTAATATACCTTGTATTACTTATAAGTGACATCCCTCAGTAACGTAATATATTCAGATTATCATAATAATACGCAGTGATAAATCATATGCTTTCTTGGGCGTAATTATGCTACGCTATTCACTGGACATTAGTTAAAAAAAACAGAAACATCATTATCGGGATATTTCGGGAAAAAATTACACAAAACCTGAACAGTTTATTGGTGCTTCTTTAGTTTAGAATTTTAGATTTACGCATTGCTATTAAGAAATAACGCATAATCACGACAGCGTGACCACGTATTGTTTATTACGGGAAAAAATAAGAATGGTTTCAAGAAGTGTTTGGAGTACATGATTATGTGAAACAGACTGATTTTTCAAGCACTTACGTACATATTGTGACGTTCTGTGCGGCTGGTGTTATAAAACATTTATACCTTCCATACCTAGAATTTGGAAGAAAAGGAGAGGAAGCAACAGTCTCAGAAAGATCATTTACTAAGAGAACAGAGGTATCTGAGGCGAAGGTTAGACCAGTTGGAGGACCCTATAGATATCCACAAGCGTAGAAGTGTCAGCGAATGTAGTATGTCCACGTCCCTCTCTGCGAGCTCCCCCTCGGAAACAGGTGGGCGTTTTCGTTCTTATAGTTTACAGTGCTGTAATTACTAAGATTAATGATCTCGGAGAAAGAACTTGTATTAGAATTCATGTACTTATCTAATATATAGGAAATCTCCAAAAATGCTGAATTTTTTTTTAATTTCTTAGTATAAATTTTAGCGAAACGTTTCATTGAATGCGTCTGTTAAACGAAGGTCCAGCTCTTACGATTGAAAATGAGATTAGTATGACTATTTGTACACTAGAATGGTAGCAGTAAAATTAATAATCAAAAACCACATAATTGGTCGGATGACATCACGTGACATCACTAGGCTTAGTATGTTTATAATCTATAATTGTTAACTAAAGAAAAATGTTTTTCGTAATTCTTTCCATATTTATTTGAAATCGATCGGTAATTTCTCGGAGCTTATTAATAATTGTGAAAAATTAATAAAAGCTACTGAAGACTGAAGCGTAAAAGGTTCAGTTATCTTATCTCAAGTCACAATTAAATACTTCGTTATAATTCATTTAAGCTATGACATATAAAATAAAATGATATACAGCATCAATAAACTTACAGTAATATACATAAACACCACTAGACGCCGTAGCTTGACAGGTACTGTTATTATATGGGGCATTAACAAGCTTACACTAATGTAAAAACACCATTACATACCGTATATAGCTTGACAGGTTTCCACGTACCGTTATTATATAGAGCATTAACAAGCTTACACTAATGTAAAAACACCATTACATACCGTATATAGCTTGACAGATTCCAAAGTACCGTTATTATATAGAGCACTAACAAGCTTACGCTAATGTAAAAACACCATTACATACCGTATATAGCATGTTATGTTACGACCACGTGATCCCAGATCTCTACTATTGTTGTAACAAAGTTCTGTGAAGCAAAGTGAGGTAAGCCTTACACAACTTATCTTAACAAAAGTATCTTCACATCCTCTGATCACGTGTGCATTAGCATTGGATG